TTCTCTTCAAATGTTTTTGTTGTTTTTTTTTTCTTTTTCTCTTCTTTAATTCTCAAAACGTAGAATTAGTGCAAAGTTGTATTTATTAAATTAAAAAAAAATAAAAAATAAAAATGGAATTTCTGGCGGCCGGTGGGTAAATCAATTTTATTTTTTTTATCAATTACAAGTTTGATTCTTGAGTGGTGAAGGTTGTTACTAATAAGTCTCTTAAAATTGTAAATGAGAGCATGATTTATACATACTATATATACCATTTTTAAGGTTGGTAATTTTTCCTCTCGAAATTGTTCAACTTGTTGATCTGAAAAACAATTTCTAAGTCACCATTTGATAATTTTTTGTTTTTAAATTTTTTAAAATAGATTTGTTTGAGAACCGATTCTACCTTTTATCTTTTGTTTTTTAAAGACATTTTTTAAATTTTAAGTAAATTTCAAAAAAAAATTAATTGATTTCATTTATCTCAACTTTTTTTCTTCATCCATGTTTCTCTAAAAATAATTTTTTTCTCACTCTAAAATACTTATATATCTCGCTTTTACTCTCTCTAAATTTTTTTTTAAGTTTCATTTTATCTCTCTAAACTTTTATTTCATATTACATTAGACAATAAAAAAAATCCGCAAAATCAAGTACACGCTCCAAAGAATGCATTTCCCACGGTGACTTGACCCATCCTCGATTACGTTTTTAAATATATATTTTATTAACTAGTTTACTAAATTAGAAATAAAATATTAAATATTTTTAAGAACTAATTATTTCTACTAAACTTATTACTCTTTTTATTTTTGAAATTTCGAAAATAGTAATTTTTTTCCATGAAGACTCCAGTCCTCAAACAAGGATTCCTCAACATGGACCTCGATCCTTGAAATCAGAGAATGAGGTGGRGACAGAGACTAAAAATTTTCACGAGGATTGGATGACTTGTGTGACTCCTACCCCATCTAGTTGTCATCATTTACATAAATTTTTCTCTCTCTAGGATATTTATTCAAATCTCTAACTTTTGAAGAAGAAATAACTAAAAATGGTTATCAAACACGTTTAAAACGTTTATCAAACATATATAGTTTTTGTTTTTCAAAAATTTAAAACTAGAAACCGACAATAGAAAATTGAATAACTAAAAACATAAATCAGTATCAAATGAGTTTAAGGTGTTTTATTCGCATAGAACAAAAGCCACATTTACCCATCGTACCCAAGTATCTCCACAATGTATGATATTCTTTTGGTTTTACCCAAAAGACCTCGTACCAATGTAGATAATTGTTCTCATCTTGAACAAAGTACCACAAAGTCGTCCTCTGAGACTTACTGCTTCGACACTCGATGATTCACTAACACAACTAGGTTTAGACCATGACTCTTTGGGCATAACTCTCACAGCTTGTTTTTTGTTTCACTTAAAATGCCTCATTCTGATGGAGATAATTATCTTTTATCTATATACAATGAATCAAGGTCTTCTTTACCCAATGTGAGACTTTATTTGTATTTCCTATAAATACAACAATACAATCCTATTTTTCATTGAATCTCATTTATGTTTTCGAATCACCGACCAAAAGTATTACCGTTGACCTCTTTTAAGATTTGTATACCACTAAATTTATAATTAAAACATTTTGTTTCAACATATGAGTTGTGAGATTAATACGTCATCAACAAAGAGTTAATGAGTAATATTGTGGCTGAATGAGATAATTTTTTTTTTTTTTGTAAGTGTTGCTTTTTCTAGTCATATTTGAATACATTTTAGCATATGTTTTAAGTATTTTATGCTTGATTTTTTAGTTAAATTTTGGTTTTTTATTTCGTACAGTTGGGTTTGAATATTTTGTAGATATTTCGAGATGTTTTATTGGTTGAATTTTGTATAATTTATTCAAAGTTGGGTATTTTCTTTTGTTTTTAGTTCAGTGGCAGTATATTTTTCGAAGTTCAAATATAAGAGTAATTGTCTACGTGAACATATAACTTATTAAAAATGACATTTTCTCACTCTTAAAGTCAAAGATTTCTCCTAATCCTCTAAGATTAATGGGCTAGTCTCTACTCAGCAAGTCACACCATTAAATGGGAAGTTGGACTCATAATCAAGATCCCTCATATGCCTATTAAATTAATAGCCTAAATATAATTGCTACCCACATATATGAATTAATTATTAAATTAATTCCAACATTAAAAATATATAAATCTATAATATGATATAGGTCTATATCATACTCAACTTTGTCTAAGTTATTAAAAATATTTTAACTCTTCCTTCTAAAGTCCCCAAGTCTCTTTCCGATCCTTTTAGCCCGTGGATCAATCTTTCGTGGTTATTACGACAATAATTAAGTATTTATTGGACAAAATTCAAGGACTAAAACAAAAACAGTTGAAAGTATAAAAAAAACAATATAAAATAAACATGATCAAAGTTTAACCATCAAAATAGAATAATTATAAAAATAAGAATTAAAATAATGCTAAATCTAAAACATAAATTAGAGGACCAAAATGTTTGGATGTGATAAAACTACAAAATATCATTATAAATTAACAAAAAAAAAAGCATAATTTTTATTAGTTAATAAATAAAAAGGGTTGAGGATAAAATGTGGGGATCCAAGTTGGCAATTTTATGAATTTTCCAATTGTAATTGGTCAACTTAACACTAAAGAAATAAATCAATGGATACCACTACCAAGAGAAAGCAACCTTGGCNAAGATATTTATTATTATAATAATAACAACAATAACAATTATAATGATAATTAAACCATGGCAGCCAGTGGGTTTGTCTCCATCCATCCAACCCCACTTGATGATGTAAATTTGGGTCCATCTTTAGAAAATAAATAAATAATAATAATAATAATAATCTTTTGGCTTGATTGAAAGTGAAGTGAAATTACCTCTTTTTATCATACCCAAAAAAAATATATATATATTGACTTCCCAATCGTAAGATCCCTAGGCGACTTTGATTTACTGTTTGGGAGTAATATTAACTATGATTTTTAAATGGTTTTAAATTACTATTTATCTCTATTTACAATTTAGGGAAAAAAATTGTAGTAGTAAAAACATTTCATAGAAGTAATTGATCCGTTCTTTATAATCAAGTGTTATTTTTCTAAGTACCTCATCCTTGGTCTTAAATTTAAAAAATTCTAAAGTTATAAACATAGAAAGATAGAATATAAAAATTTATCATTTTTTATGAAATTTTTTTGACTATGGTCTACTCAGTTTTCACTGATCTCTATCTACATTAATTTGTCTTTATGTAATAAATAAATTTTCTCTGAGCGTTATTTTTAAAATTTTTAAATTATTCATTTTATTTTGAGAAATATTTGTAATTGTGTCCTACAAGAAATAATACAATGTCCAAAAATAAAAAATAAAAATACTATAGCATAAAGATAATGTGTATTTGATTGGTAAGTGTAATGGGTCATGACTTATTCCAAGTAGAGAGTTGAGAGGTGTAGAATGTCACCATGTGTAACAAACTTGTAATTAATCATTTGTTTAAAATAATTTGACAATGTAACTTTTGTCTTCAATTGATATATAAATATTCCATCAAGATTGAAGATGCAATTTTACAATAATGCCAGTGAAAGATAGTTGACTAATCTACATCTTTCTCCATTCAAACTATCCATTTAATTAATGTACATTGTTTGAAATTTAAGGTCAATATTAGAGTTTTTTTCCCTCTTTTTTTAAATGTGGGATTCGAACTCAGAATCGTCTGATCGAACATAGTTGTCTTAATCCGTTGAGTTATGCTTAAGTTGTCATATCAATATTTGAGTTAGAATTTACAAAATTGTTAGAGGTAAACTATGATCGTCGACCATTTAAAGTGTACCAAAATCTATTTATTCTAAACTTATAATTGGTCTCATATTTACGAAGGTAGATCAACAATTAACCAATACAATTGAAACATGCACTATCGTAGATATGTGCATATCGACTATGATTGCTCCACAGTTCATTTGACTATGAGACATTAATAATATGTACTTAATCAAACTTTGACTGAATTCAAACCATATTCTCTAGGTGATGTGCGTACTCATATCTTGGTTGTATATATATGTAGAAGTGAAAATTTTGAATTGATTGTTATCTCAAGACAAAGACTCTTTGATACGTTCGAGTTTATGTGTTAAATTGAATATTAATTAATAAGTTTGCAAAGTTCAAATGAAAATAATGTGATCCACACACTATATAATCTCATTTTGAGTATTTTTCGAATTTTCTTTTTTTATGATTCAACAAAATGCCAGAGAATTAGAAGAAGTAATCAATGTCTTCAATGTTTAATGGGAGTTTTAAAACAATTTATGAAAATAATATATTTGCCCTAGAATCCAAAACCATAAAATAAAATATTTAATGCCTTGGGTCAATATAAATAACCTTATCAAAGTATAAAATAATTAAAAAAAAAAGTTGATTCAACCACTAATGTGTAAAAATATTAAATAGCTCATACGGGTAATTTAGATGTAGTTAATACAATAACTGACTGATATATCAGTTAATATTAGCCATAATTTTAAGTCACGGGAAAAGATAATAAATTAATTGGTCAAAGTATTAGGCAACACTTTTCAAATCTGCACCTCCATATTTAAATGGTAATATAAAACGTTAGGGACAATAATAGACCCTCCACATCACACAAAGATATCGTATGGTCGACTTTCAAAATAAGTTCTCGTGACTTTATTTTTTGTTTCACCCAAAAGTCTTCAGAGTAATAAAAATGTCGTTGTCACTTACGTACATATCCATAATCTTCACCTTAGGTAGCCAGTTTGAGACTCTGCCGCATACCCAATAATCTTTTCCTCGATCAAAAGTACTACTAAACCTTTCTTGGAATAGTTCATCTATCTAGCTTTTATACATGTCAACTCCTCTTCTTCGGAGTACATTACTTATCCGACACAGATTTCAACCATAGATCACACTATGACTTTATTTACCGCTTCATATTTGTTCGTCCTTTGACATAAAAACAAAATAAATTCGTTGATTTTGAGATTTAGTATCCTCGAAAAAAGTGATGCAATGTCCATACCTTAAAATGTTGCCTCCAAATTTCAAAGGTTGTGGGAGGAATGTAAAGCCCCAATCATTGCCCCAATTTCCTCCACGTGTTCAACATTTCTTTTAACTTTACACCCACGCAAAATCATTAACACTTCAATAATAATTCTTTTTTTTTTTCAAAATTAAACCATTATAATTATATTTGTTCTTACAAGTTAACTCCAACTCCTATCATTTGAAATCTCAAAATTCTCTATTAAAATAACTACCTTTCTTTGAATTGCAAGAAAGTTAGTCATTTTTTAAATAAACATTTAAATTTTTTTCTCCATTTTTAATTTTCATATTGTTATAAGAGGTTAAAATTGGTTGAGGAAGTCCTGAGATGACATCTAAATATATTTTATTGAATTGTAAATAATCTATGCTTTAATTTCATGAAATAGACGTATTCCATTGTGAGATTAAAAATTTAGCCAACTCAAATTTTCTTTATAGAAAATGAGCTCATTAAAAATGATATTATACTAATAATAATGTAACTAACAAGCCTTTTCGAAAGTTGCAGATTTAGATCTCCCCGCTCTAATTTAAATTGAAATATTTTTAAAAGAAGGTAATAAAAACAAATTTTGGAAATAAAATATATTATTTTTTAAATTAACGCAATATTCTTCTTTTAACATTTTGTTCTAAATTCTATATTTTGATAGAGTTTGTTTGGGATTTATTTTCATAAATGATTTTTTTTAGTTCATGATGTTTGTTTGTTTTGGGTATAGTCTTGTCCATATTATTGGGACTGTAAGATCTAATTTCTTTTTCTTATATATTTGCAATATATCTCACTTTTGAGAGAGAGAGGGAAAAAAAAAAAGATGAGAAGGTTTGAAAATGAGGGATCGATTTTGATTTAATAAAAGTAAAGAAATGGGGTGGGAAAAAAAAGGGATGTACTAAGTAAAGCCAATTATGTGGAAATGAGTGTTTTGGACGCTTCATATTATAATTTATTGGCCAAACCTATGCCCTATATTTAGTCCTATTTTCTCTCTTTGAATCAATTCCCTTTTCTTAGAAGAGAGAGATTTTTTAATATAAACTCCTTTAGTAGCTTAATTAATGTAATTAAAGTGCTGTATTAAGATTAAGAAAACTGACATAGAGATCAGTCATGTGCAGCAGCACGTGCCTACAAGAAAATTCAATTTAAAGTAATTAGTATTTCTAAGTAAAGCACGTTTTTTTAGTACGACAAATGTAAAGTGTCGAAATTTGAATATTCGACTTAAAAAAAAATACAAGTATCGTTAAATTAGGTTCATGTTTGGCTCTAAGCAAAATACATTACCTAAATGTAAACATACTCTAATACATATTCAAACTAGAATATTAATTTTTGTCTCACTGAATTTATTAGGTATTGAATTTACGTTTTTTTCACTATTATCTATTCACCACAATTTTTTTCTGTCTAATTTATTGTTCAAATATCTTTAAGAATGTCATGTATCACATTTATTTAATTAATTAATTAAAAACCTAGTGAAAATTCAATATTCCGGTCTTATTCATCTAACTGTATCTTAATTAGTAGGGTTAAAAGGCAATTTTAAGAAACTAAATATATTTCAAATAGTTAAGGCGTGAGTAACTTCTTCCTTTCCGTCGTTTTACTATTATTATTGTGAAAGCAAAATCTTTTTACTTTTAATTATTCTTGTTTATTGCAATTATTATATATAAAAAAAGATTAGGTAATAAAATTTGTAAAAAAAAAATCAATATAAAAAATGTAGGGAGTGGGACCCGGACTGGAAAGGCGCAGAAAATTCGTTATGAAGCAAAGTTGACCAAACTTGATCCACGTGGCATTTGTTTATGGCTCACGTTTCTCCCACTTTTCTATTGAGGACTCACATTTCTATTTTTCTAATAAATCCTTCCATTATTATTTTTTCTTATTAACCAATTATGTAAATATATTTTTTTTTTCTTTCGTTTCGTACGGGTTTGTGCTAACATATACAATGTGCTCCTGGTTATAAACATAATTCAAATATGTTGAAAATAAAATGGTTAAATTATAAATATCAAGTTTAGTTTCGATTCGAACCTCATAATTTAGGATTAATCTTAGATTGGTCCTTAGGGTTCTAAATGTTTTATTTTGATTCCTATGGTATAGTTAAAACGTTACAAATAATCATCCAAAAATCAACTCATGAACTAAATTAAAACTAAGAACAAACCATGAATCAAATTTTGAACTTTCAAAATTATAGTGACTAAGTTCAAATATTGTCGTCTAACCGAAATTCAATGAAAATATGTGGCCTTTTTAAAAGAAATTCACTCCAAAACATCAGTTTAAAGAGAATAGTTTCTCAAGATAGGTCAAATTTATCCTTAATCCACAATAACAAACGAACAAAAATTCGAACTTTAATCGAAGAGAGAAATCAAAAACGGAAAGAGATTTTGTTAATCTCCCCACCTCCAAAATCCAAAGGTCAGACTCATGAAACCTCTCTCAATACTTTAAAGGGAATTGAACAACATTTACAATATAACCATATAGCAAAAGAGTTCAATCATCAAAGAAGAATCCATAGTTCTTGTTTGACTTTGGTTTATCCGAGAATAGCTATATAGATAAGACATCTATTATTACTTTTTTTAAAGTTCGATCCCCCTATCTACATTTTTCGAACATCTATCCAAAGATTAAAACAAATAAAGATCACCCTAAAATATATTAAAAATAAAATAATATTATGAAACTGATAGCCAAATAGTGGCAGGAATGTTGCAAATTACTCAATTATGATTCTATTTTTCAGTTAAATTTCAAATATAATCGCTCAAAGACAAATAAATCATAAGAACAGTACAGGTGGAATTAATTTATACATACAGTAGATGGACGAAAATTTTGCATCCGGCTAAGTATGACCATATAGATACCATTAGTAAGAAGAAAATACCCCGTCCATAATTTCTGAATCTTTCTTATCAAACAAAAAACAATCTAAGTTTCTGCTAAAACTACGTCTCTCCCCTCCCTCCCTCTCAACAGATTAAAGAACAAGCAAAACTGGATATGTTATCGTAACCCCAAACTCCTTATGCACATCTCTTAACCTTTAAACAAAAGATGCAGATAGTTAGGTACCTTCCTCAGCCCCGCTTCATTGATGCCAAGAGTGTAGCTATCCGCTTCATCCCTCACTGAATTGGGCTTTCGTTCCTACTTCGCCAACCGAGATTATTACGAATTCAGATCTGAATGAAGCCAATGGCTAATCATCTTCATCGACTTCCTGGCCTTCTTTATCATCCTCATCCTCATTCTCGCTACCACTGTTCGTGTCTTCCTGATCCTTTTTCTGGTCACCCTTACCATCTTGCTTTCTCTCACCACCTACATTAGAGAATGAAAACAGAAAGGATTAAAAATATACTTCCTTCTTGGAGATTTTTTTAAGGGTAATCTTCAAAGCGAGGAACAAAAACAGAGCAATGCCACAAGAAAGAAAAAAAAGAATGAAGATGGGAAGGATGCAGCAAGAGCTAAAAGTTTGTGCACCAAGGATTGAAGTGCAGATTGATCATAGTGAAATAGATTGATCCTCGAACACTATAAGCAACAAGAAATTTTCCAAATCACATACCATATTCACTGAAGATAACCCCACCAGAACATAATCCCTCCTCAACTTTAATAAGCTGAAGTGTCATCCTAGGTCCTATCTCTTGAAGCTTGACAGCACTCTTAGTAGAAGCTTGATTGATTCTACCTAGATCACTGGCCAGAGTGACATGTGCTGCTTCGTCATCAGCTTCACTTTCTGACCCGTAGCCAGCCCTATCGAACAACAGACAAGAAGAATTATAAGAAATCATTGGAGCAGCCAAGATAAGAAACATGAGGTAGAAATAGAAGTTAAAACTGTGGATATCTTTTCTTTTCCCTTTCCAAAGTTGAGTCTCACATA